AGCCTAAATGTTCATCAATGATTTTCCATATATCATCTGAATGGGCAATCTCACTTCATTTTGCTATATCTTTAGAATTTTTACAAAGTTGTATAGTATGGATCAAGAATTCCAGGCAATCGAGCTTGAAGGTCCCACATTAGTTGTTTTCAATTTTGTTTGGTAAATTTTAGTGGCAACACAGTGATAATTACATTTTTAGAAGCCCCAATGTACCTTCCTTTAGGGGTGTGATTACACTTCTATTATATGGGAAATTAAAACATAAAGGGAGACCATCAGTGAGTCCCCAGAAAGAGTAAATGAGGTTGATAGGATAATGATCATACAAATATGAAGTGCACAATCGGCCCAAATGATGGGGTGGATTGTAGGGATCTGAATGGGGCTATTGGTCCAAGTAACGACCTGGAATGGAGAGAGCTTAGGGTAGTACGTCCAATATATCCCAGGTGTGTCTGAGGAGGTATTTACCTGACAAGCAAGCAGAGCAAGGATAGCTATGAAAACACCTTCAGGAGTAGGAGCATGTCCTGTCGACACAGCTATGTCTTGAGCTGGGTGACAGACATTCATGATTTGTCCCCAGGTTGGGCAAGAAGCCTGTCAGACTGCTCGTGTTGGGCGTTTTCTATGGTACATGGGGATAGACTGTGCATGGTCTCTCAAGGAGAGCCGTGATATCTGCTTAGTGGGAGGTTCATGTGGATATTCATCTGGAGTCTCTGGTGTCTGTGCTTGACTTCTCTGGAGTTTCAGTGCTGGAGGAGAGGGAGGCCTCCTTTCTCCATTTTGGCTGAGAAATCGAGGCATCAGTTCCTTTGGGAATTGGGACAGTCCGGATCAGCCTATCAGAAATGTAAATGGGTGACTCTGAATCCTGAGGAAAGATACAAGTATACCATCATCTGTTGGTTATCAGTGGCTCAAGCCCTTCCATTGTCCTGAAAGGAGATCCTTAAACCTGATTAAATGTTTCATGACCTGTTTTTCTGTGGTCCAATGCCAAAAAATTGCAGTGTGACCCAACAAATCAGCATTAAGATTATGTAGTACAAAGAGAGCATGGTGTAACACCTGGTGAGGGGAAATATACTTGTAAATTTATATCTTTAAAGTTTCAGTCTTCCTGACTGTAGTTATAATAACATGAGAGAAAGTGTCCACGGTTACATGAACAAAGGATCACCTACAAAGGCGACCAAAAGATGGATCATGGGCTACATCTACCTGCCAGAGCATATTTGGCAATAGTCCTCGAGAATTGACTCTGAATGCTCAGGTAGGTAGAAAAGTAGCGCAGTGTGTACAGTAGTGAACAATTTCTAGAGCTGTCTCTCGGGGAATGTGAAACTGATATCTCAATGCAGGTGATTTTGATGATGAAGGGTGTGTGAAGCACGAGCTTCGGTAACAGTGTCAATTGCAATCGTTTTAGGAAGAGCATCAGCTAAATCCTTTACATGACTTAAGGGCCCCTGTAAACTCAAGTGAGCGCGAATATGCCCGACATCAAAGTTTTTATTTTGATTCTACATTTGTTGTCGCAACTTAGTAAGTGAAAGAGGGTGGCTTTCTTTTTAAGTAGCACAGCTTTCTCAATATGAGGAAATAATCTGACAACATACCGTGAGTCAGAGTAAACGATAAACTCTACTTTGGGGAACATAACAACGGGCATTCTGACGGCAGTCATTTGAGGCTTTTGGGCTGAGGTTTCTTGGGTATATACCACTTTAATTTGAGTTTCTGCAACTGTGGAAGCTTTTCCATCGGAAGACTCACCTGTCAAATTATTGACAGACTTTGACAGGAGATGCTTGACATCTTTTTTTTAAATTACTGGGTCATCAGCCATGAAATTAAATGAAGAGTGAGAGGGCAAATAATGTGAAACTTGCCTTACATAATGTCCTAAGACAATTTGCCAGACTTTGTTAAACTGCAGCAAGGCATTTAATTGTTATTTTATCTTATGAAATTATAACCTCAGGAGGTTTTTTGCCAAACGAATTTATCCTCCTTTGTTTGCCTTTTATAATTAGTGCTCCTATTAAAGCAGGGTCATCAGCCACTATCTTTTTGTCTGTAGTTGGAAGATGTACCCATTCTAGGGGTCCTGACTGCATAAATACACCAGTCCGTGCTGTAGGAGTAGGCAAGCACAAAAGCTGCCACACCTTACTTGTATCAATCCTATTTACATGACTCTAGATATGGCATATGTTACTCTTTGAGTTTCAGGGGTCAGGCTCTTTTTGGAAGCAGGGTCAGAATTACCTTGTAAGACATTAAACAAGGGCTTTAATTCAGCAGTAATGGATTTTAAATGAGGCATAATCCAGTTAATATCTCCTAGCAATTTGGGATAATCATTACAGTCACCAAATGAACTTTTTTTTTTTTTGTAAGGGAACATGAGTCACCATTTTATAGTTTAGAACTTACCCTGAATCAGTAAATAGCGGGTTTATTTAGGGCCAATTTGTAGGCCTCTATTTTGTAATGCTTCTGTTAGATCATGCAACACTGATTGTAGGTAGGCCTGATAGGGATGTGCTATTATTATATCATCCATATAATGAATTAAATATACCTGTCAATATCTTATATGAGATCATGTACAAAAGAATTGAAAAGATTTAAAAGTGTAGGCATAGGCATTGTCAGGGTTAAGATATTAGGATAAAACAAGTCTAACAGTGAGGGCTTATTTTGGGTAGAAGCAGAATGAGCTTTTGCATGTATCATTATCATAAATAACACTTACTAACTTTACTAAAGTAACAAATAAATTTAAAACAACTATAAACCACTTAAAGGCAAAGAAATTTATAATCTGTTATTGAACGATTTGTTCTAAGAAAACTTTGTTTGCTTCACAAGGAACATAGATGAAATTTCAGTCTGTTAAAAATTTAGCAGAGAGCAAACAAAGAACATTTTTTTGTTAATGTTAGAAAAGTATTTCGTTTATTTTTCTTATAAATCTTGAACTAGCAGTGTTTTTCTCAATGTCTGAGAGTCATAATCTACAGGGCAATTGACAAAGTACCCTGGTCATTGTTGTGACTTGTAACACTTGAACATGATAATTAAAACTACAACTGACAACATGTTACCAGGACATATCAGATTTTCATGAATTTACACACTTTTTAGGATATCTATATAAGTGAAAACAACCCGATAATACAACCTGAGACAAAGTAGCACACTTCCAACATTAATTCCCTTGCAATTGAATATGTCAAATGAACTCAGATAGTTTAATTGATCCTTGGGAGGTCTCAGGGGCCCTCTGAAGCAACCCAATCTTAGCTACAGGTCGAGAGAATTTTTAAATAATTTTTAAGACGTTTTATCATAAGGATCAATTAAAAGCATTTAGAACACTTGGTCCGATTTAGACAATGTTGATGGATGTATGCTTTATCTTGTTGATATGTCACAATGCACATAAATACGAAGGCTCAAGGTCAAGTGAAAATCAGTTCCTCCCCCTTTGGACCTAATTGGATCTTCCCAGTTTTTTTCAGCCATGTCCTTCCTAACAAAATCCATTCATCTAACTATTTTTAATCAAATTTTAGAAAATCCTGATCATGCAAAACTCTGTTTAATAGTTTTAGTAACTTTGTTAAATTTAATGAAAGTATACTTCCTGCTTTCTTTAGCAACTAAGAGCTAACATTTATATTAGCATTTTATAGATTTGTGAGCATAAATACAAGTGGTAATGTCTAAAACCCTTGTTTTTTTCTTTGCCTTATTTATTTTTGCTGTAACACTTTAGGATGGCATCAAGCATTATTACTTTTAGTCCCACATCTCTTTAGTTGTTCTGTTAAAGGAATTCAGTGATTTGTCATCAATGTTTTAATAATTTAATTTATTTGGAAAGGACCTATTTATTTAATAGAATTTAAATACTTAGTTTAGCACATCCCTTAGAAATTTAAGTTACATCAATCTGGAGAGCCAATTGTAGACAGGTTTTTCTAAAGAAAAAAGTATTTTTCATAGAGTTTGTATAGAATCCTCATATGTCATTTCCATGTTTTAGAAATTTTTTCACTCAAGTTAATTGCCTTGAGGAGAATGTTGTAACAGGTATAATATTTAACTTATATTAAACCTAAGTACAAAAATATTTTACTTGATGTTAATTACTCTAAGACATGTCTATACTAAAGAGGTGAATGAAAATATTAATATCAGGTATTTAATACTGAATATATCCCTGTTTACCTGAACACGGAATTTATTGTTTAATTTAGACTTATTTGATTTTTAAGTACTTACTCTTCTTTAAAGCAAATAAATAGAGCTCATTTACAAATTATCCAAAGACAAAGTCATACCAACACATATTTAGACCGACGCAGTGCAAAATCTAGCTTCACTTTTTAAGTTTATTCATAAATTAGATAATACAATATAAAATTTAACAGTTTAAAAAACAGATGTAATACAATAAAGTTTTAAAGGCTTTCTTTTTTCTTTCACATTTGCCTCAGGGTCAGGAGTTAGAGATTGTCTAGGGCAACTTCTTTGCTGCTTTTTCACAAACAGCATTTTGCAATCCACCCAACTATCCTTGACACAGCTCCCCAGGTATCTTCCCAGGCCTGAACTCACATACAAAATCACCACATCCTCTTCCTCTTCCCCCATGGGAAATGGATCATTGGGGCTCAGTCTGAACACAGTTCAGGCCTATGCTTTCAAGCTAACCGGACCTTCTATTGCCATCTTCAACTGCACAGAAACCATGTCCCTCCCTCTTCAGACACTTATCCTTTCTAGGATCTTTCTGCCCTACACAGAATGCTCAGAGAGCTCAGAGACACACATAATTTCACATCAGGTTGATTTTATTTCAATGTCATTATTAATGTATGCTATTGGTAGAAGATTCAATGATTGTACTGTTGGCCACTTTTCAGCAGTGAGACCCTGGCAGAATTCTGAGGTCTCTAGCTATATTGTGAACTCACTGGCTATGCACTTCTCCAGCAGGAATGGCAGGGGTCTCCATGATCTCTGGGGCCACTTCCAGTTGGTTCTGATTTAACTCTTCATTCACCTTGGAACACTGGCTACAGTGATTTGAACCTCTGATATTGTTAATATTCTCTGAGGTGGGAGCTATTTGAAAAGCTCCCTTGGTCAGCTTTGGTTGAATGTGCTTATTTGCCCTCACAGGTACCCTGGGGACATGGAGAAAATAAGAGAAGGAGCAAAGAATGGCATTAATTTTGGGAAGAGTGTATTGCTGGTTGGGATTGATGGCTTCAGTAGAAGGAATGTGACCAAGAGGTGACATGTGCACACCAATGAAAGGGGAGGGTGTCTTACGTGGCTGTGACAATGTGCAGGTTGAGCTTGGGTGGTTCATACAACTTGACACTTCTTTTGAACCTTAGTTGATAAGAGGTCTTCATCTTGTCATACTGCATAAGGAGCTGGTTGTTTCAGATATGTGCTAGAAACTTTTGGCTTCCCAGCCACCTTAGTCATTTGGTCTTGTGTGTGTGTGTGTGTGTGTGTGTGTGTGTGTGTGTGAAGAAGTATTCACTTTATTTAGCTAGTTTTCTCAGGTGAATGTTTATTCTATAGTAACCTGACCGATTGCACAGTTTATATATATTTCAAACTACAGAAAGGAAAGAGTAGGTCATACAGATGCAAAACTACTACACCAACACATCCAGTTAAAGGCAGATTTACACTCTGTAAGATCTCCCCAAGAGCTGGAGGTGGTCGGTTCGATGTAGAAACTTCAAAACTGTACTAAAATATGGTTTTGATTTTATTTCACTCTTCATCCATTCCATATGATTGCAGGCTCAGAAGCCTGCCAGGAGACAGGCTTCTGAAAATGTTCCCAACCCTGGCAGAAATGTGGACATCTATGTGCACAAAGCACTCTCAGATAGCATCCTCTAATTGGTATGCTGAGTCGACTTGAAAGCAGAGACTGAGAACATGAAATTTTAATATAATATGGTAGTTCTCTTTAAAAGGAGTTTCTGTATTTAATAGTGTGCCAAAAGAATTTTAACTTTTTAAATAAAATACATCCTAAGTGAACCTAAAAAGCACAGATTATAAGCATGCAAATGCTTTTAATTTTTGGTGTAATGCATCAATTACATCTGTAAAGAGAAAACCAAATTCTATATAGAGTAGCAGAGCTCACCTAGCCACTAGAAGCACTCATGGAGTTATATTTTAAAAGGTTCACAAAACCTAATTATAAACCTGCTAAGATTCACATATATCTTAAAGTGCCATACTGAATCTAGTCAGTGATTCACTAATGCTGCAAAACAAGCTTTCTTCTAGGGAGAGTGGTTTCTTCCTTTTAACTGGGTAAGAAACAGTCTTTGAACAATAGGGAACAATCAATTGATATCTCAGCATGAATCAGAAGGAAATTTTACTTTCAGGGTATGTCCATCATTGAGTGTTTAACCAGAAATACTCATCCTAAAGCATAAGTTTTCCATTTGATTTAGAATTTTCTATCTCTGAGTCGTCTTTGGACCTCTTAGAGATAAGGCACATCTCAGATCTATCCATATTTCGATTTGTAGCAGGGATGGTGAGGATTGCTCTCACCTCTTTCTTTTCAATTAGAAGGACATAAAAAGAAAGAAAAACACACATTGTTTCAGATTTTTCTAACACCTAAACCTAGAAAATAACTTTATATATATATATATATACTTTATACATATAATTTATGTATATATATACACATTCCGAGCCAATGATAATAAGAATTAGCGACTCAAGGAGCAGCCCTCAGCTCACCATTATACTTTTAAACTTGTGTGTATTAAGTATAAAATAATGATGTTTCAACAAAGAGTTTTGTAGCTATTTATTTGAAAGTTACAGTATTTCAGAACTCCTTGGCAATAAATAGCTTGTCTGTCTCAAGTCCTGCTTCACAGACGGAGCTCCGTACGATCCTGGCCCAGGCCGTGAGGTCCGGGGCCACACTCCCTGGTGAGGTCAGGCGGCCGGACAGTCAGAACTCATCGATCTTGCTCTTCACGTACTTGAGCATGGAGTCCATGACCTGTGCGGAGCCCCATATCTTCTTGAGCACCTGACACTCTCACTCATTGGCTTGGTCCAGCTCCAGCCTCATGTTACAGTGCACAAGGGCCTTGGATTCCTCCAGCATGATGGGGTTGCAAGAGGCGAGCTCCTTGATGTGAAGCATGACTTCCTAGCTGAAGGTCCCAGGCCAGAACACCTGTGAGACCAGCCCTTTGTTGCATGTCTCCTGTGCTGTTAGCTTCCATCCTCTGAGCAGCATTTCCTTGGCAGATACTCCTCCCATAAACTTGGGGAACATGATGGTGGAACAGCCACCCAGACTCTGTCCAAAGGTGCTATAGGGTGTCTGGAAACAACATGCCTTTTCATTAGCCCAGACCACATCTCTGAGAGCCAGGATGGATGCTCCTCGCTCAATGCCCGGGTGATTCACAGCTATGATAATAGGCTTCTTGAACTGGATGAAGGTGTTCACGAAGTTTCTGATGGCCTCGGCCATCCTGGTGCTCTCCCTCCTGCGGAAGTAAAGCATGTCCAGGCCACAGCAGAAGATGCTGCCCATGGCACTAAGCAGCACCAGCTTGCTGTCATCAGTGTCAGCCATGCTCAGCGCGCTCTGCAGCTCCTTCATCACTTCTAGATTCAGCGAGTTGTTCTCGGACAACTTGGTGGACAGCAGGATGTGGGTGAAGCCGTCCTGCTTCTGGACCATGATGTCCCAGTACCTGTAGGCACTCTCCCTCTGCCGCACGCTGAAGTGCAGCCGCTTGGCAAAGGGCTGGTCTCGCCTGTCCTTGACAAACTTCCTCTTCGAGCATTCGCGGTCATAACTGACATCTGCAGGGGTCTCGTGCTATTGGTCATCAGCGGGGCCATGAACCGGGAGATGCCATTCCCGTTCACGGCCAGCACCGTGGCCATGGCAGCCTTCACGGGGCCCGACACCTGCAGCAACAACAGGTGTATCCAGGGCCGGCTCCCCATCCGCACTGGCTCAACCCACGGGCTCAGTAAGGCCTGGATGGGGTTCTAGGCCACCACCTCTGGGGTTGCTGGGTCCTCCGGCCCCTGCTTCACAGGATCCGGCATCTTGGGGCTCTCATCATGAAAGCCGTCCAGCACAGTGACACTCTCTTTGGGGCTCTTTGGCACGGGAATACTGTTGCCCGACCGAGCAACGTCCAAGTTCTTGTAGGTGGCCAGGCCACACGCTGGACTCTTATGGAACTTCTGCCTGGTGGTAAACAGCAGGCTGCTCTTGGCCTCGTGCTCCTTGCCCACCATTAGGGCCTTGGCGGCGGCCTTGGAGAAACTTCTGTTGGTGGATCTAGAGATCTGCTTCTGGCCATTGTTTGGGGAGGTCCGCTTGGCTCTGGTGAAGGTGCCCTCCTTTGGCTTCTTGGTGTGGTGCCGGTTGAAATCGTGGATGCACTCTTCACAGTTTACCATGTGCTAATTGGCTCTCAGCTGGCGTCCTCCCTGCCATAGCCTTTCCACTGAACCAAATACTCCGCCTTCCCTTTCTTTTTTTGCCTCTTGTCAACACTCATTACAACCACATGCATCTCCTCGGAGGCCATGGCGCCCCACATTAGGCAGGCCCAGTGAAACCACCCTGTTCATTTTGAAGACACCCAGTGGTCTGCTCCATAGCCCCTAAACAGCCATATACTTAGGGGACCACTCCCTTATGATTATGACGTAAGGAAGTCCATTCCACAGGCAATGGCAGCCTTCCCCCAGGTTGGGCATCACAAAGCATCATCCTGAGTTCTCTGAGGATGGATGGGGAGCAACTCATGCTGGGAGAAATGAGGCATTTTTCTTCATCCAAAAGAGCCTGCCAGCTCACCTGCCATCCTCATCTCTCTCCGTCAGCACAGATGGGTCACATGGCATGGACAGTGTGTCTCCTTCAAACCTTGCCGCACAGCCAGGTTTCAGCCTTTCATTTGAGTCTCTCTCATGTTACAATTTTATCTACTTTTTATTTTCTTGCCTCAAATCCATCCATGATGACTTGGCTGTGAAAATGAGAATAACTTCACTTTCGTCATACAACTGGAAGGAGGAAATGCACCTTGAAGGCCATTCAATTTTGGGCCACTTATGAGAAACCTTTTCCACCCCACCTCCTTTTCTCGGTCTTCATCTTGCTCTCCTCAGTTTTGTAGTCTCCGGTATAAAACCCCTGTCCTCGGTTGTGAGAATGCTCTGAATACATACACTGGCTCTGGCTGTACTTGGCACTGTCTTGTTTCAATTTGAGAACTAATTGTCATCTCCCCAGATGAAATACACAGGCTTGGGTTTAACGTGGTGATGCAGATGAGGCAGGCAAATGCATGCTTTGCGTTGTGCTAGATGACCCCAAGAAGGAAATGACCACCAGTGACTGACAAGTATCCCCAGGAAAGAAGGGGTGCAGCTTGCCCTGTGGTGTGTGAGCCTCACATGCACAGGTCTTCTCAACATGTGCCCTCACAAATTCTTTCTCATCTTGTTTTCCTGGCAGAATCTCCTTGGGTGTCCTCACAGTTGAGACCATGGTGGAATTCGTTTCCATGAATAGCTACCACAAACGTCCAGCCTCTTGGTGGAAACACTGAGTATTCATGCCTACCCATCTAGTTCCCAAGGTCTGTCATTGAGGTTGCTGGCTCTAGAGGATAGGGGAATGAGTTGTGTGCTTCACCATTGTCCCTCTGTTCCTAATGAACTAGCAGGGTCAGCCAGCCTGAGATGTACCCCTGGGGGGCAGTCTTTGTTGACATAGTGGGATTTTCTGTGGTTTCCATGAGTTGCTGTCTTCCTGCAGTGCACTGGTTGCTTAGTCATGTAGGACAAACCTGAATGTTCAGAGCAGTCTTATTTCTAACAGTCAAAAAGTTGAGAAGAACACGATGGTGGAGGTGGAAGGTTATAAAGGAGTACATCTCTCTGTATACTCATCCATCAGTAATGCAACTTCAGACACAAGAGCTTGCAGATTCTCAGCTGAGAGCAGACAGGACTCCCTGAACAGAGGAAAAGGATAGCTGGAACCACAAACAATCGGGAGAATGAAATAACTGGGGTGGGAGGAGGAGACATGCGTGTTAGTAGGATTGGATCTGCCCTCAGGGGGTGGGAGACCTGAAGTAGGTGTGCGATCTCCACATGGGAGCAACTGTCTGTATCAGAGGAGAAACACTTAAGGCTGAGAGTGAAACAGCTGATCTGTGGGAGCCTAGATGGGATAAGAAAGAGACAGTCCTTTCCACAGTCATTCACACCCCAGAGAGGGTCACAGGTACTGTAGAAGGAGCAGCAGGAAGCAGACAGTTCATAGGGATTGTGGAGAAATCTCTTTCTGTGGTCTGCTGCCTACTGGTTCTAGACAAATTGATGGGATGTTCCAATGAGGAGATCGTGTGGGAATAGCCTGTGTAGGTAATCCAGGCAACCATGGAAGGAAGATGACACTGCTGAGTCATGTTTAGGGGGTGGAGCCATGGGGACAGCCTCTCTCTCCCCACACACCTGCATCATAGCTGAATAAAAGTGAGGCTGGCCCATCAAGCACTTGAATTACTGAACTGCAGAGTAAGACTCCACCCAGGCACATTTAAGAGCCTGATGCTCCAAAAGACAGAGTAGGACCCCAGCCTGAGGGGCCACCTCTATGTTCCAGACATGCTGAAAGACAGAATGACCCCAGACAGGAAAGGGCGTGAAGGCATGGGTCTATGGACAAAGACTAGCCAAAGAGGTCTTCTGATTGCCAGCTACAATAACCTCAAAGAAAATTTCTGACAGGTCTTTAATTCCTGCAGTGGAGGCAGTCAAAATCCCTGTACACATGGCACTGCCAGGGTCCCCGCAAGCCAAGAAATTGGGTCACCTTCATGCTCAACTCTCACTCGGGCAGAGCTGCCACGGTCAAAATACTCATCCGTCTTTGCTCTCAGTTTCGCTTCAGGATTGTCTGATTCCCTTCTACCCTGGAGACTGAGGCAGGATTCTCTATCAGGGAGGGGATTCTCCATGCAATTATCCCGGAGTGTACTGGCCAATATGGATTGCCATGACCTTCTAGAGCACTGTATTACCCGCTATCCTTATTGCCAAACCACTGAGGACCCGGTACTTGCCAGAACGTTTGTGGCACAATCGTCTGCACCACCTAAACACCTGGCCCTCAAAGCGCAAACCCAAGGACTCCAGGGTAAACTCAGGAGCAAACCCCAGTGGACAAATCACATTCAGAGATGGAAGTAAAATCCCAACTGAAACTCAGCAGCAGTGTAGCTAAGGAAGAAGACCCAGAACCTCCCTACCACGTGTACAAACTGCAGATTAAATCCACAATAACACCTAGGAAGTCTCTGTGTCTATGGAATATAAAAATAAGTCATCAAGAGACTCCACCTGCAAATCAACCAACCAACCATAAACAATAACAACAAAAGAAAACACACTAGTTCTGAGAGCTGTGGATATCAGAGGCAAGAACACAAATGAGCTGGACCAGATAAGAATGTAAGGTGCCCCTTCAACAGGCCCAGGGTTCAGCACACTGATGAAGGGTATCCGAGGGAGGTGAGATGGTCTGTGAATCCAAGGGAGGAAAGGGACTCTGACTCCAGTGACTCAAGATAAATGTATATTGTTCTTCTGTTTTGACTTTCTCTGCAGATTCCTTTGGATTTTTTTTTCGTTCTTCCCGCCCTCACCACCACTGAGGTAGTTGTCAATGTTATTGTCAATATGAAATCAAATGAAGGTTTTAAGCTTTTTTTTGTTTTTTCCTTTGCCTGTCACACCTTTAATCCTGTTATAAAACTTCTCCTCTATGTTTGGCTTTTGCAGTTCTGTAGAATATTGTTTTATTTTCTTTTTTCTTTTTCTGTCTTCTAAATGTAATTTAACAGTTTTTAATCCCCCTAATTCTGTTATCAACATTTATTCCTCTGTTTGTTTCTCATACTCTATTCCTGCCCCCTTTGTAGTTAATCTTTACTAAAATATCATCTTATCTCTATCTGTTTAAGATTTCGTATCTATCCTTTTCTCTCTCCTCTCAACATATTTGTTAGATTAATTTTAACTGTCTTATTCCCCAAATAGATCCCAGGCCTAGTTTTTATTCTGGTTTGTGCTTTAGTTAGTTTTATTCTTGTAGATAAACTTTCAGTTTCTTTTGTTCACTCTGTCAATTTAATGACGTTTATTTTACTTTATTTTTCTTTTAGAACTATGTCTCCAAGTTGGTCTTCTGCTGCTCTGTAGAGTTTTGTTTTATTTTATACTTTTTATTGTCTTCTTCCATTCCCCACCCCCCACTTATTATACATTTATTTATTTGTGTATTAAAACTATTGCAACTTTTCTACATCGATTCATTTCTTTGCCTTTCTTACACTTATTTACCCCTTATGGTGAATCAGTCATATATATAAATCTTCATCTTCTTTACCATTTCATAATATGCTTTTTTTTTTTCTTTATTTACTTTCTTATCAGCTTCTGGGACTCAGCCCTGGTGAAGTCCAGGTGTTCACTTCGGATAAGCAGTGTCTGTATAAGTATAGAAAACCAAGTCCAGTCTTGGTTGAGTGCAGAATCAAGACTACTTTATTCTCTTACATGAGTGCTTGTGTACCCTAAAATCGACAATCCTTTAAAGATCTTTAAGGAACGGGCAATGATAAGATTGCACCAGGTGCATAATCATAGGTGACATCATAAATAACTTTCCAGATCAGTCAATACCAACACATAACTTTTCAACAATTCAAGGGCAGCAGCTAGTCAACTGTGAAAAGCCATCTATAAATCTTATCTTGGGAGTCTCAGACCCGGGCTGATTTCAAGGGTCAAAGTTCTCATGAATCCACTGCTGATAACACCCTAAGAAATCTTCCCAATCTCGTAATGGACTCTATTGACTTTTGATAAGGGGTATATAGACCTGTTTATTAGGACCCATGTGCCCCCAAGGACTGTGTTGCTGCCATGCAACTGTTTCAAAGAGGGATTTGAGTAAGAGTCAGACTAGTTTTTAGGGTACCTAGAAGAATGTCAAGGATCACAAGATGCAGGGCGGAAGGCATGGGAGTGGATTGTGGGCAATCCAGAGAAACCTCCCGAGGTCGTGATGATTTGCATGTGGAGTGGTTCTGGAGGTCCGCACAACATTACAAGCCAGCTCCTTGAACACAGACCATGTCATGGTCGGGGTTTCTCTCGTCGGCTCCCGACATCTCCCTGTTTATTTATTTATTTATTTATTTATTTATTTATCTATTTATTTATTTATTTATTTATTTATTTATTTATTCCATTTATTTTTATCAGTTGGAGGCTAATTACTTTATATCATTGCAGTGGTATTTGTCATATATTGAAATGAATTAACCATGGATTTACATGTATTCCCCATCCCGGTCCCCCCTCCCACCTCCCTC